TTGGATTGTGGGTGGTTGGCGGGTGCACTGGTGCTGTTAAAGCTAGAGAGGTGAGCAGAGTAAGCCCGGATCCCTGTAATGACTTCTCTGTTGACATCCACCCCTTGGAGCTCATATGACCTGATGCAGTTGCGAGTTCCGTAAGACCTCTACTAAATTAATAAATAATACTCACCTGAAGATAAAAAGGTATCTTCTGTCTTTGTCACACTTATAACCTGGATAATGTCACGAGGCGAGATGAGCCCCAAAGCCATACTTTTGCTCAAACTCCAAACCACTTGCAGGTCCTGAGGAGAAATGTGTATGCAACAGGCCTTTTTCATGTCCACAACAATAAGAAAAGAAGAGTACGCTTATTCCTTGAGACATCGTGGTGAACGGTTCAATTGAAAACCGGATGTTATCCCAATCTGAAACTCGAGAAGATATCAATTTTAAGAACGTGTAGACTCAAAACCGCACTCTCTTCCACTGTTGGTTGGTTACTAGATTAAAAAGGCGGTTTAAGATTCTGTTTTGGTAAATGTTTTACTGTGCCAGCAACTGCATAAAGTCATATGAGCATGCTGGACACGTTAAACACTTTCAGTTTTGGAAGAAATTTGTTTTGAATCTTGCCTGGTGGCGGCTGAAGCCTACTCTTAACGATTTTATGACCACAAAGAGATCTTTAACGTGCGCACCTCGCACACGGGACCCCCGAGATTTTTTCGATCTTATTCGAGAAGGTTATTCGAGAAGGTAGGGTGTTCGATCTTACCTACTTTTATATCAGGAGTGTAGCTGAAAGAAAGCAGTAAGAAAGAGCCAAGAAGTTGCTGTAGAAAGGCAGCAGAAAGAGTCAGGAGCTCAGCGGAGGGGACTAGAGGACGGGTGGGTGTGTGGGGGCGGGGGCAGAAAGGGGAGACGGAACAAGGAGGTGAAAAGCTCTTTGAGACGGAAGCAGAAGACAGAACATGGTTAGAGAGCAGGAAAGGAGGTGAAAGGAAACATTTTTTAGACAAGAAAACTTTCCGTCGGGACCTATTGAATGAAAGGAGAACACCCCCTGCCTCAAGACCACAAGCGCCCCTTTACTAATGTTTGACTTCCTAGTCAACTAACAATAAACGTAAACCACCAATCAAACAGAGGTGAAGTTATGAGTGAGTCTACACGCTTTTAAAACTGATACCGTCACGATTTTCAGTGTGTGATATCACTTGTTTTTCTACGGAGCCCTTCTTATAGGAATTTAGTAGTCTACTCGAACGCTATTCAGCTGTGAGTGCAGGTGATTGGTGAGCGCTCTGGTATTCTGTGCGTTATCTATTATGTCCTATATAAAATCAGTCTGTATTTGTTCCTAAAGCTAAGTGGCCATGTCCCTTCGACACTCCGTCAACTACTAAACATTTCTTTTGAAAAAGAAAAATCTTAACGCCCTACGACGAGTTACAATAAATAATTTCAAAGGCGGAAGAGCACGACTATCTGTGTGCGCGTGTGTATGTGTGTGTGTGTGTGTGTGTGT